TAAAGGGAATTTAGGTTTATAAAATTAGTTAGGTGGCTATTTCCCCTCCTTGCATTGATATTATTAATAAAACCCATATAAATATATATTATTGTAATATAAATAAATAAACGAGATTCAAGCAAATAGAAAATATATAATTGTCACTTGAAAGATTTAAACCATTCTGAAAAAGAAAAGAAAAAACAGTTTAAATTTCTTTTAGTCATCAATTGATCTCTGAAGATGGTACCTAATGATAACCGGTTAGATAAATTTACATTTTCTTTTATAGAATTAAATCATGGTTTTATTATATATGTATATATTTATATATATATATATATATAGAGTACTGTGGAGAAATCTCACACAGTTCAGGCTACAATTGTTAAATTGCATAAACTTATTTTACCTGTTTTTTGCTCTTTTGTTTCATCTTTAAAACCCTTTGGAAAGGTAAAAAACCGATGATCCAGCGTCCGTTAAAAGTTAAAAGGGTTTAGTGAAATTTAAATTATTATACTGGAACCTTTCTGATTTTTTTTCTTTTAATATATATATATATATATATATTTAATTATATATACATATACATATGTTTATATATGTTTATGCGTATATAAATAAAAAAAAGAAAAAAGAAGATAGCGAAAAAAACATATTTTATAAAATTTTTAATTTGTTTCGTACATATGCTTTTATATACATATACATATATATATTTATAAATATTATATAAAATAAAAAAAAATCATATATATATATATACATATATATATATATATATATATATATATATATATATATATATATATATATATATATATATATATATATATATATATATATATATATATATATATTAATTGCTTTTTATTGCAAAAAATTAAGTTTCATGTATCGATATTATCATGGCAAATGTTCAGATGGAATTGCATTCTTTAGTACCTCAGCTTTTACAGCTAAAACTCGCTAAAAAACTCTATGGAACTGACTTTGTTTTCGTTTCCTCCTGTAGTTTAAAATGTAATTTTTTTCAATTCAACAAATTTCTACACAAGAACTGCTAAGTTTCCTGGAAAAAGACTCCCGTTGGTCTCACCTGAATTTGTTCAGTTTTTTTGCCTTTTCAATTTGGGTCAATCATTATTATTCAGCCTTATCTTTTTTTCCTCTTGCATCCATTTAGTAATTTTCTCTGTCTTGAACCACTGTACTTTGTATCTGGTTATCTTTTATTTGAAAAAAAAACATTGTTCTTTTAATATGTAAAAGAAAAAATATTTACACATATTCCCAAAAAAATATGAAAGGGTGAATAAATGTCAAAATAGGAATCAAAAACAAGCCTGTTTGCAAAAATTTTATATTAGACTCTTGACGTTTAAAAAGCGGGTTCTTTTGGGGTCAAAATGTCTTTTTTCCAATGCTCAACTTTTCAAATTCAAAAGTTGTGAATTTCAAAATGAAAATCTCAAAAAACTTTTATTCCTCCATTAAACTGCGAGGCATTGTAATGATAAAGTACAAGTATTGCCCTCAAGGCTACATTTAAAATATTATAGATATATCATTTAGTTCTTAATTTTCCAGTTATATCTTGACTATTCTTTTTTAGTTTTTTATAGTATAAATATAAATAATAAAAACTGGTTTTGTTTTTTGGTGAAAGTATAAAATAAAGGACGATATTTAAAAAAAGAATCGTAAGTTTGAAATTGAAAAATATACAAAAACGGTTTACATTTTTATATTCTTATGATCTTTTGAAAGTTTTTTATGCTCTATCTGATTCTTTTCAACTGTTTTTATCCATAAAAGCAATTAAAAATTAGGTTACTGTGATCCTCTGAACACACAACACATTAAATATATATATATATATATATATATATATATATATATATATATATATACTGCAATTATTACAGTTTTGACTTTACAAACAGCTATTATATGAGGAAGGGAGATACTAATCTCACAATATCTGAATGATACAGATTGAAAATCTTGACACCAGCTTCAGTATGATTTTTTAACGTAGCTTCGATATAATTAAAAAAAAAAAAATATAGTTGCCATATTAAAAGTTCAGATATTTTTTAAAGAAGATTAATGGATAAGACATTGTGTTATTTTAAAAAAATGTAGACAACCAAATTTGTAAAAACAAGTTTTTACCCGTCAATGTGAATGAACATTGTGACAAAAGGTCATATTTAATGTACGGTTAATAAATTGTACAAACCAGGAATTCAGTGGAAAAAAGAAACAGGGAATTGTTGCGCTGGCATCAATATTATTACCGAATTTTTTGTCTCAAGTGCAATGAAAAATGGGTACTGAATATGGCAGTTGGCCCTTGACCGTCAACCTCTAAGTTTTTTTAATGCTGAGTCGTAAACTATTTTGAATATTAATGTTTCCCTTGTCGAAGATAAAAACGCTTTCACCTCCATATTTTGTATATAATTTTATACTTTTATAGATGAAGTTGTTGCTTTTTAGATATATAGTTCATATTCATAAACTTTATTGTTTGGATTCATTTGTAATTCTGAAAATGTGGTATACAAATCTACTATTTTTCTGAAAAAAAATATCAATGAGAAAAAAGTATACATACAGTTTGAAGAAATAAATATTTGAATACATTCATGAAATAAATTATAACCAAAATGAATTTTTAAGCATCATCTGTACTTATTATCATTATATTGCTCTGTTCTTACATTGAGCTCTCTTTGGATTAATGTCATCCTTGAAATTATACCTACTAATTATCATTTGATATTTCATATATATATATATATATATATATATTAAGAAATGGACAAGGTCCGACAATTTATTTATTAAAGACATTTTTACGTTTAACGTTCTTTTTTATAGATACAAGTATTTAAGCAAATGCTCTGTTTATGATAAACAGTATTAAATAACATTTACCGGCCTGAATGTCCGAGAAATTTTCATAGAAAATATTCGTTCTTTGACAGGATTCGAACCTGCATCCTATAAAGAACCGTCATATACGCTTTAATAACCGCCTTAAACTAAAAAGAACCTTCACAAGGTCGAGTTTAACTGTAAATAAACAATCCTTTTTTATATATATTACATTATATATAACAAATAACATATATAATCGAATCCTGTCAAAGAACGATATTTTCTTTGAAAAATTTTTCATTCATATATTTTAAATGTTATTTAATACTGTTTATCATAAACAGAGCATTTGCTTAAATACTTGTATCTATAAAATAATAAACGTTAAACATAATAAAATGTTTTAATAAATATATATATATATATGTATGTATATATGTATGTATGTATGTGTGTGTGTGTGTGTGTGTGTATATACAGACAAAATGAAAACTTATTTTAACCAACACGTTTCGTCTGCATAAGGACTTTATGAAGGCAAATGCAAGTATTTTATTTTGCAACAAGTATTTATAGACAAGAGCATAAATGTCATTGATTTTTCAAAATTTTTAAGTTTAGGAATGTTAGGAATGTTTATGACTATTCATCAGGTTAGCTGAAAAGTCAGGCAAACTATGGAGGACACAAAGTGATACAATAAACAAAAGTGATGTAAATTAGAATATATATATATATATATGTGTGTGTGTGTGTGTGTCTGTATATATCACTTTCTCTGACTAAAGACAGTCTTACAGCCACATCAGGTGAAGTTTTCGTGCAGAACCATCCACACTTATTGAAGGGCCAAATACAGAGACCTGGTGCACTACTTGCCAGAAGATCCCCAAAATGGTGACTCTCCATGGGTTTTGAATTCAGAGTTGTCCTTCTCCTAGACCAGTTACCATCCAAGGCTATAGAACCCACTCTGTCCTGCTATTTTACCCATAGCTAGAGGGAGAAGAAGGGGATTCACACCTTTCCCAAGAGTATTAGCACTTAAGTGAATGTAATGGATTCAACTGGAATTCAAACTCTTCTCTCCGATTCCTCAATCCAAGCTACTATCCACTACTCCACCATGCCTCTTATTATATATATATATATATATATATATATATATATATATATATATATATATATATACATACACAAAGATACCAGCAGTGTTGAAACAAAATTACAACTTTTGTAGTGATCTTATAACATGTATATGTCTAAATTTGAATAAATATTATATATATATATATATATATATATATAGATAGATAATATATAAAAAGATCTTATGAACATATATATATATATACACACACACACACATATGGATAGATAATATATAAAAGATCTTATGAACATATATATATATATATATATAGATAGATAGATAATATATAAAGATCTTATGAACATATATATATATATAGAGAGAGAGAGAGAGAGATAGATAGATAATATATAAATTTTTTATGAATATATATATATACATATATATATATATGTGTGTGATGAAAAGCACTAAATGCAAACCATTTCCCCAATTCTGACTGAATGACCAAAAATCAGAATTTTATGGTTGGAGATGTTTCTTATTTAGGCTGACAACTTTTCAGCCTCTACTTTATATATATATATATATATATATATATATACACATATAAAGATCTTATGAATATATGAGTTTATATGATGAAGATGTTAGCCTGAATTAACTTCTGAATGCAAATAATGCTTCGTATCACAAGTATTGAAAGGGAAAATTCTTGAAATGTGGGAATTGTATGATGGATTAAATTTTTTTTTTTTTTACATTTTTTTTTCAGTCTGAGCAGAATGGCAATGTCTGGCCAGTGCCAACTCACCAGACAAATCAATGAACATTTCCCATCCTTGTTATTACAGATAAGTAAGTGTCTACCCCAAACATCCATCCCACCCCCAACCATCAGTGGCTAGCTCTTCACTTTATTTACTCTCCTTGTTCCAATATCCTTCCTTCTTTCGTTCCTTCATTCATTCTGTTCTTTTTATTTGCTTGATTTCTTTTTTGTTGAGTGTCAACTTTTGCCTATCTCTTTCAGCTGCTCTCGAATTTCAAAAACAGTTCTTTACCTTGTTTGTCTGTCTGTCTGTCTGTCTGTGTCCTTTCTTCAAGAGTCCTTTTCTTAATATCATGACTTCCTTTACTTATTTTTTTTTGGCTGTCTTCTTTCTTGTTGAGTGTCAACCTTTGCCCATCTCTTTCTGTTGCTGTCTAATTTCAAAATCAGGTCTTTACCTTGTTTGTCTGTCTGTTCTTTCTTCAAGAATCCTTTCATTGATATCATTAAATCCTTCCTTCCTTTCTTCTCTTTTAATTTGTCGGATTTCCATTATCTTATCTTAGGAACATGAGATTTAAATCTACCATTAAACATTTTTAATGTGTTTGACCATGCTGTCTTTTAAAAATTCATGTGTATCTAGCTTTTAAAAATTCATCTTTTTTTTTTTTTTAACTTAAGGTTACCCAATGCAAGGCCCAAGAGGCACTTAAAGTTGAGGGTTACTGAGCAAGATTGTTGCAAAGGTGTAATAGAAAGAGAAAGTAAGAAATTCACATTATGAGGATATGTAGAATAGATATTGATTGACTTTGAACTTGAAGAGGTTAACATTGTAGTAGTTGGGAGAAGCATTCTCTGTCTGTTCTGCAATGTAATAATTCTGGGGAAGAATATGTCCGAGTAGAACTTCCTCCTTACAAGTGGAATATGAAGGGAATGGGGATGATTTAATGCTGTGAACATGGTATGACAGGTTCAGGGTATGAAGGTCTGAACTGGTGGAACTAAAAAACATAGCTCATTTGAACATTTGCTATAGTAATATCAGCATCTGTCTTTTACATATCCATCCCTTCAGAAGGTGAGTGATCATGGCTCTTCACAACTTCCAGTCCTTTGGAGCTCTTAGTAACTTTTGTCTTTCTGCTATCTCTCCTAATACCTGTTTTACACAAGCACATTAGGTCGGTTACTCGCCATTTACCTCTGTCCCTCTTGCCTTCAATGTGCCCTGTGAGTGTCAAATTTTCCAAGTCCTCTTTATTCTTTATGGGCACTAAAAATTTCAACTAGTTTCCATTTTCTCTAAAACTGCATTGTTACTTACATGTTCAGTTCATCATATTCTCAGCATCCTTCTATAGAACCACATTTCTCTTGCCTCAAGCATCTTCTTCATTTTGAAGATGGTCCAGCATTCACTGCCATATAGATGGACTTATATTGCATAACAGCTTAGTATGCTTTTCTTTGCTTCTAACAAGATTTTTCTGTTTTTTTTTTTTTTTGTAATACTCTGCTTAGCTTTTGGAAGGCATCTTTTGCTATCCCAATGCTCAACTAACTATTTTTTAAAAATCCATCTGTCTTGCTGTATCCATTTCCAAAAATCATCCTTCGGCTGCAATAAATATTTTTTAAATTCAAATTCTGTCTATTAACACATTTTTAAAAATTATTCTCTGCCTATGCACTTTCTGGAATCCATTTTATCTATATCTGCCTATTTTAATAAATTTCCCTCTGCTTCTAACAATATTTTAGAAGATTAATCTGTTTCTCTTTATCCCTTTTTGGAAATTAACCTATGGTGATCCATTTTTAAAAATCCATCTGCTGCAACCAGTGGTGGCATCCCAAATTTCAAGGGACTGGTTCTATAAAGGCAAGTAATCTTTAGGAATCTTTTCTGCTTATTTTTTTTTTTCATTCTGAAGGGAAACAAATCACTTTTGTATCAAATTAAATCATTTTGATAATAGAAAACATTTATTTATTAAGATACTAGGAGTAGAGCCCGGCGTTGCCCGGGGATGTAACAGTAAGAGATAGATCAAGTATCGACCATCATAAAGACTGAAAAATAAAATTGACAAAGATTATTGTTTAAGGTTGACGGACATGCATGTCTTAATTAGTTTTTTTTTTTTTTTTTTTTTTTTTTTTTTTATGAATTGGTCAAACCCAAAGAAAACATTGTTTTCAATTGTTATGAGTCTACCGATTGAATAGAATTTTATTATAAACAATTGTTTTGTAAATGTAATTTTTAAAGCATTCTGAATGTAAAAATAAAAAAAAAGTGTGCAAGACAATAAGAAACACTACCTGCCAAAAAAAAAGTGAAATTTTGTTGAAATCTGTTGAAAAATGTAGGAAATCCGATCCCATATATAATCAAACACACACACACAAACAACCTGGGTTTTATAATAAGTATAACTTGATATGAGTTGTCCCCCTTTCATTCTTGTGTCAGCGATGACTCTTAATCGTGTTTTCAAATTGATTTTGTGCAAAAACAATTGTGTTTTTCCAATTTTTGGCACAATTTTACGTAGTCCTGTGAAATTTTGTTGAAATCGGTTGAAAAATGTAGGAAATCCGATCCTATATATATAAATGAACAGATACACACACACACACACACACAACCTGGGTTTTATAATAAGTATGATTTCCAGATTGAAATTCTGTTCTTGATTGAATGCTTTTTGAATCTCATGTCATCAGCAGTGTTATGGTTTCTTAGCCACATTTAAATTGAATGGCTACAATCCCAAAAATCCAATAGAAGACCTATTTTATGATGAGAAGATCTGCCACATTTTTAACTTTAAGATGATTCCTTTTGTCACAATAAATTATGTTCATCACAGAAAACTCTCTTTCTGCTTCTGCAGAACTTACAGCAATATTTTTAGCTATTTATCAGTTTGATATTGAGCACTTTTACCCATAAATATAGCATACCATAAAACTATATTTTTATCATATATATTTTAAAAAGAAGATAAACAGCAATGGTTGAAATGTGGATTTTTTATTTTAAAATATATATTATACTTATTTTCATAATTCTGCTACATGAGTTTCTGTTTTTTGTGACCTTTTTCAAACAAACAGTATGAATTCCCCATTTTATAAAATGAATTTTTTGCTTTATCTGTTGGCAGAAAGAGTTTAAATATCCAAGAAAGACATTTGAATAACTTTATTCAAAAAATTCATTTGAATATGTGGAAATATCTTCTCTTTGCTTGAAGAAGGTCAAAACCAGAAACTTGTGTAATTATGGAATTATGGAAAATAGTGTATAATATATATTTTAAAATAAAAAATCCACATTTCAACCAAAAATGTTTACAATTCATCTTTTCAAAATATACACTTTTCTCTCATTGGAACAACTATAACCACTTCCCCTATATATATATATATATATATATATATATATGTACACACACACACACACCAAAATTGTACAAATCATGTTGCAGCATAATTTTATATATATATATATTATATATATTATTTATTATAATTTTATCATATAGACAAAAACAGTTTACACACTACAAAGATGCAACTTTGTTTTGGTGCATTTCAATTGCACCTCAATGGGTAAGAACTGTTTTTGGTTATGAAATAATTCTGCCTGTGGGAAAGCTGTATGTGAACCATCACTTCCTCAAGCAGAATTGTTCAAAAAAGGAAGTGACGTTTCATATACGGCTTGCTCACAAGCAGAAATGTATCAAACCTTCTTTTGGATTAATGCTGTGAATGTTAGAATTTATATATTATTTCATTAAACTATTGCATCGAATATATATATATATATATATATATATATATATATATATATATATATATATATTACATTGTGATGACAAAGTGGAAAAAATTTCTTTTTGATGCATTTTGTCCTTCAGGATATATATACTAAATTTTATTATATATATATATATATATATATATATATATATATATATAGCCTAAAGACTGAGTTCAAGAATGAAACCGACTGTCGCCACTCAGTGTTTACCTCAAAGGTCAATTTTAGATTTATATACTGTCAATAATGGCATCCAAAATTCCCAGGAACTGGTTCTATAAGGGCAGGTAATCTTTAGGAATCTATTCAGCTTATTTTTTTTTTCAATCTGAGAATGGAAACAAATCATTTTATAGCATAAAAAAGAATTATATCATTTTGACAATAGAAAACATTTACTTATTAAGATATTTCCAGATTGAAATTCTGTTCTTATCATAATTCTCTTCAGCAGTATGATGCTTTTTGACTCTCGGGTCATCAACTGTGTTATGGTTTCTTACCCACATTTCAACTGAATTGCTGTAGTCCCAAAGATCCAATGAAAGACCTATCAAATTTGGCACATTTTTAACTTCAAAACAGTAGGGAGCATGTGTCTATTTGAGTTTCACAAGGCATGAGCATAGTGTAACTAACATTTTACCTAAACCATCTGCTATTAATATATAAGATTATTTTCAGATAATCTAACAACCAGTTTGTTAATCTTTTATAATTCTAAAAACTGGTTCATGCGAACTGCTAAGATGCTATCACTGGCCACAATCCATTCTTTATAAATCTATTTATCTCTCTCTAGCTATATTTTTAAAATCCATCAGCACCAGTAATCCATATTCAAGCTAAGAAGAAAGTGCTTGGAATACTAATTTTGTTTTATACTATTCACTGTCTGTCTTTGTGTCAAGTTAGACTCCAATTACTAACAGGATTGTGGAAAGTTATTTTTGAAACTGGAATGAGATTTTTCAGGCAACCAAATGAGACATTTACCACAAGGGAATATGACATTTATCACTATAGAATGACACTTTTATGGCGATGGAATGATACATTTCCTGCTATGAAGGAGACATTTACCGTTATGGAAGGAGACATTTACTGCTATGAAATGCGACATTTACCGCTATAGAGTGACTTTTAAAGCTATGGAATTAGACATTTACTGCTATGAAAGAGACATTTACAGCTATGAAATGCGACTTTTGTTGCTATGGAATGAGACATTTACTGCTATAGAATGACTTTTAAAGCTATGAAGGAGACATTTACTGCTATGAAATGCGACTTTTGTTGCTATGGAATGAGACACTTATCGTAATACGAGGAGACATTTAATGCTATGGAATGAAACTTTTATGGCTATGTATGTATGTATGTATGGATGGATGGATGTAAATATAAGCATCAGCATGGCCAAATGATTAGAACATTTGTTTTCCAACCATGAGATCCATGTATGATCAATTTTTTAGGGAGGTAATATTTTGATGTCATCAAGATCCTAGTATGCCACACCTTTGGAAAGCGCTTGAAAACCACACCTCAAATTCACCTGGACCTTGTGAAAAATAGGGTAGGCAGAACTGTTTGGAAACCATTGATGGTTATACTAACATGAAATCAAAAGTCATCATGACCGAGGGTTTAAGTGTACTGGCCTTGTTGAAACTGCTAAAATATGTGCTCTCTTCCAGAAACTATAACTAAGTTGCACTC